ACATGTTATTACTGTGATTATCAAAATAAAATTTGATTTTAAGAGGACATTAATCTCAGTCTTCCCCTAGGAAGCTGGGTAATTCACATGCCTGTCTTCAGTGATGAAATCTAAGTTGTTACGATAAATAATTTAGAATTTTGCATGGACAAGTAGGTAAGTCTTTTTGGCATAAGTGCTGGACAGACTATAGATTGCAATATCAAGGGTTCTACCTCTTGGTGGTCTAGAAGGCATGGAGACAGAAGCCTTAACATGGGAAGTGCTCTTTGCCTGGTCAACAGTTAAGAAATTCTGGCAGTGCACTTAGTCTTCTCTTCATTCATATTTGTACTTGCTAAGCTCAGTACGCTGTGCTGTGCTTTTCCAGGGTACTTCATAGACAGGGAATATAAGAATATAAACAGAGTTTGTTGAAAGGCAGGGTTTTTTTGGTTTTTTGGGTGGGATTTGTGGCATCTTTCCCTGGACCAACTATAGCTGGGGGAGAGGTCAGACAACAAAAGAGCTGGAGCTGGGCATTTTGGCACCCAGTGCAAGTCACATAGTGGGAAAATTGTCCCATATGTGCTACTATGTTTTTTTTGAAAAATCACTTGTTTGTATATGATATAATAACAATAGAAAAGAGCACGGACCCAAATTAGTGTCAAAAAGAGGGAGAGGATCACAAGTTTGCGAAGTTGTTGCATGTAGCACCATGTATCAACACAGAATGCCATGTATGAAAAGACAAGGTTCTTTGGGTAAATCCAATATCTTTTTTAGACCAACTCAGAGAGTTGGAAAAATTCTTCTTTGCAAGCTTTTGGGTACAAATACCCTTCTCCAGGCTGAGGAAGGGTCTGCAGATGATCTGTGCTCTTCCTGGATGGAGTGGTAAAGCAGACAGTACGTATGCAAGAAAGCCAGTTGTTTTAAATGTAAATTGAGATGGTCAGTAGGTGAAAGACAGGTTGGGGGGGCAAAGGGGGGCGGCAGGTTTGTAATGCTTTGCAATGGATACAAAAAATCAAGGATTTAATATAGACATTGGATTTATGACCCATTACAACCTGCCTGACATCTGACTGCCTTTAGCTGACCACCTGCATTCCTTCACACTTTCCCTTCCCTCTTCCCCCGCCCCTCCTATCTCTACCCCCCACTCCTGTCTCTACCCTTTGTCTTCCAAACTTGCACTCATTTGCATGCCACAGACTTCTTGTTTACTTCAGCTTCTTTTCCAGTTTGGAGAACGCAGAACAACAGCAGAGTCTCCCAATGTCTGAAGAGTGTTTGTGCCCGAAAGCTTTCAAAGATCTTTCCCCCAACTATTTAGTTGGTTAATAAAAGATTTCACATCTACCCAAAGTCCCTTGCCTGCCTATGTCCTTAGACCAACATGGCTACAACCAACAACCCTGCAACATGTACAGAAAGAAGTACTAGAAAGTTCGCAATTGAAATGGCACTCTCTTGTTTTCAAATAAATAAACTATTATTAATTCATGAAACAAGCCCCTTCTCAAGTTAAAAACAATGTTTATTAAAACATTACCCCAAATTAATATAAATTCTAGAGTTTTCAAGAAAGTCTGGGGTTAAAGACAAATTTTCAGATTTTCCAGGATTCTTATGAAATCCTGTGCCAGCAGGCATCTTATTTAAATATGAATTTGCTTTGCCTTTAACATAGCAAACTTGTCAGTTAAGAAATCGTAGTTTAGCAGATTCACTATATGTTACTCAATTGACAGGATTTCCAAGTAAGATAATCTTTCTTGTCCAATCAGAGACCATAGGTAGTTCTAAACTAATTTTAAGTGACTGAAGCTGAGCTTGACGGTAGCAATAGTTATATGTAATGTCAAAAAATCCTTGAGGCAATGTTGATATCTGGCTACATCAAGTGACCTTACATACCTTGGCCTTCCCATCTTTAAGATTGTAGCAGTCTGGCTGTCCTGCTGCCAAAAGCTGGAGGAGCCAAGGATTTGGAACGTGACTCTTTGGAAAATTTTATTTCTTACCTGGTTCTTGGCACTGCAGAATGGTTGAGCTCAAGGGCAGCCCAGCAAGCTAAACAGCTAATCACAAGTTGCCATTTCTTTCCCCTTTGCTCTTTGTAAAATAATCAGCAAATCGGAAAATGATTCATCTCAGGAACCAGGTGTCAACATCATGTGGTAAATGTTGCCAATATCATTCTGGTCTGCTGAGCTGAAAGCACCTTTTTTTTTCATAGAGAGAACCAAAAGGTGGCTCTTTGAATGCCAAGCAGAAGAGCTCCTGGCTGCAGGTGGTTCACACTGACAGCCCCCAGGTTAGATAGCTCATGCCCTTCTCCCAAACCACTTCTGAGGAGAAACCGCTTATGGGGCTGGGCTTTTCTGTAGGGTGACCCTGCTGTGCAGCTGGGACAGCCCTATTTTCAAAAACTGACCTAGTGAAGGAGAAGTTCCTGGACAGAGAAACTGAAGAGGCTCCTGGGACTGGTTTCAGCCCAGCCATACCCCAGGACCTCCCACCCTCTGCACCTGGCACCAGAGTATCTCATCCTGCCTCAGTCTGTGGCTGAAAGGTCTCTCTCGTTGTGGGCTGTGTCCAGGGGCCTTTGCTGACTCCATCCTCTCTGGGCTTGGAGCTTCCAGGGGAATATGAGGCTCATTCAATTTGGTCCATCCATGCATGTGGCAGGGAGACCCGGTGCATCCCACCCAGCTGAACCAGGCAGGCTTCTGCACCCTGGGCCCTACCCTGGAAGCTAAGCTCATCCCTGCCCTGGCCCGTGCTCTGTCCAGTGGTCAGAACAGGGCCAGCCAAGGTCTGTAGTATAGCCCATGTACAGAAGGGGATGGGGGTTAGAGATAGGGAGCCCAAGATGAGGGCCAGCAAGAACACCTGCACAAAGAATAGCCGAGAGAAGACAAGCTCAACTCTTGGAGGAGGGCCCAGGCTATGGGAACAGGCCCATTTCAGCCAGTGGGAGCACATCAGTTCCCCCTGCTACCTGTGGTAGTGGGCAAGAGCAAACAAGCCCCATGTGTTGCTCCCTCCCGCCTGCCCATACCCTCCAGAGCTCTGGGCAACAGGGCACAGGGATAGGACAGTCTGTACAACTTACACTGAGGTTCCCCTGCTGGGGCCAGTTTGTCCAGAAGTATGTTTTTACAATAAGTAATACACAAGTAACTAAACATCACTTCCATTTGCTTTAGGAATAACCCCCTCCCACCCCCACTCCCAATGCAAGGGTGCCTAGCATCAGTGCAGCCTTGTCACTGCCCTTACTACAGTACTGAAGATGACCTTTCCTTGACTATTTTGACTACAGCAGCACTGCAACCTGACTAGAGCTTGTTGGGATTGGTGATCCTTATCTTAAAAATAACTATAAATAAATGAACTACTTCTTTAAGACAAAAGGTTAGCATGACAGTGCAAGGTGAAGGTCATTTGTGCTGATTAAAGATAAGACTATCACGACTTCTACCAAGTTCTGCAGCAGCTGATAAAAGCACGGAAGAAAACCTTCTTCTAAGAGAGAGTGCAGCACACACACAAGAAAACACATGCTTAATAACACCATTTACAGCATCTCCAGTATCATTTTTATTACAAGTAGTATGGTTGTTGGTACAATTTAGACAGAAAGAGGATTAAGAGTAATAGTCCCCCTAATCCCCATAATTAGTGGGTGTTCGGGTTTGTGTCACTTTTACATATTACCAGTAAGTGCACTTCCATTAGTTATTAACTGCTGATTGTACATTTCAAACCTGTGTATGTTCTTAAAGCTAGTGTCTATTAAGGAATTGATTCTCAGGAATATATGTAAAAATATGTTGGTTTTGCCAACCCAGGACAACAGCAAAGCCCTGCCGTGGCCAGTATCCCAGCTTATGTTCTGCAGCAGAGGTTGCAGCCTCTTGTCATGTGATGCAGAAACATCTTGTGTGCATAATCATGCCTGCATGATAGTAGAACTTTTCCATTCCCTTCTATGGACAATAAATATTCATTCCTACAGAGGGCTTTATGCAGGTGATCTCCAGAAGGGAGAGGAAATTTTTCAGGGGCTGCATTGCAGACATTCATGCTCTCTCATACAGTAGAGAGTTGATTATCTGGAAGCTGAGTTTTGTGGAAGTCAGTTCACCGAAGATTTTATAGTAACAAAACCATCCAGCCACTGTAGGGTTTTGCTTGTTGATGAGACAACTGTATGTTGTTTATTTAATAGTGCTTTGAGATTTTAAAACATTACACAGTAACATTTTTTATTTCTTTTTGCCTTTTAATATTTGCTGCACAGTAATTAAAATATAGTTTGTAGCATTTCATGCTGCTCTGTTTGAGTTTCTAGAGAAATTGATTATCTGGAATGATAGTGGCACTAATTATTCCAGATAATCAACATTCTACTGTATTTGGCATTTTATTCCCATAGTCCCTGAGCTGTCTTTTTGGAGCTACTTGATGTCAGAGGCATTGTGATACTTTTCAATCATTATTCACTTTAGGTATGTCCCCTTCTCCCCAAATCCCAGCCGTACCCCCCCGCCTTTGCTTTTTACAGGGCTGTTGAATCTGCTGTGCGTTTTCCCAGAGAAGTAGAGGAGCATCCAGCTCCTCTGTCCTTTGAAGTATGTCAGTAAAACTGGACTATTAAAGATGAGAGTACAAGATGTATAGCTGACTACTTTCCTTTCCCATTTAATTCAAAACAAGGTCAAAAAGAAACAGCCGAGGATTGGAATGCCG